AACCAAGTGCACCGAATTTGAGGCTGCCTGGGAGGCCGCTTGGAACAAGCAAGACGATGATCTCTTCAATACCGCTCGCCTCATCACTTGCGGCATGTACATTCAAATCTCCGTCCACGACTACTTGCGAGCACTGATGGGTTTCCACCAGTTCAACACCAACTTCACTCTTGATCCTCGTGCCGACTTTGACCAGAAGAAGACGAGTCGTGGCATCGGCAACCAGGTCACCGTCGAGTTCAATCTGCTGTACCGCTTTCACTGTGCAATCTCTCTGAAGGATGAGAAATACACTGAGGAATTCATGAAAAAAGTGTTGAATTTCAGGGACCCAAGCAACACATCGCTCCCAGAATTCCTGCAGACTATGGAGATAAATAAGCAAAAGGCCGCAGAGGCAAAGAAGAAGGGTAAAAAGGACCCTGAACCATGGGAGGTGACGTTTGGTATCCCAGATCCACCTAAGCCGGCACCGGCGAATGGCCACGGTAGCAGCGCAACGACCAGCAGTGGAGTTGCTGCCAAGAGGCCTCTCGACAACTCTGATTCCGGCAGCGAAACAAGCAGGAGTGGCTCAGATAGCGGAATATCAATGGATGGTGTTACTGGCGCGGGAACGTCCAAGAAGACTGGGCCTGCTCAAGAAGCACCCGCAAGTTCTAAACATTTCACGCGGAACCCCATCACAAACCTCTTTGACGACCGCAAGATGCTGGATGAACTCACCTCCGCGATGGACGATCCTATCTCGAACTTTGGCCCTCGCAATGTCCCCAAGTGTCTCAAGGCAGTGGAGATCATGGGCATCCTGCAGGCGCGCAGGTGGGAAACCGGTACGTTGAACGACTTCAGAGATTTCTTCGGCTTGCCCAGGCATGCGACGTTCGAAAGCGTGACAAAGAACGTCGAGATCCAGGACGCGCTCCGAGATCTCTATGAGCATCCCGACAAGATTGAGCTGTATCCCGGTATCTTCTGCGAATCAGACGAATACATGGGACTGGACCCCGGCCCCAGTGAGTCGAGCTCTACGCTCTGGTCGGCCATCTTCTCGGATGCCATCACCCTCGTCCGCTCGGATCGGTTCTACACCGTTGACTGGAACACCAATTCGTTGACCTCCTGGGGCATGAAGGAAGTCACACCTAACAATGAGATCTGCAAGAGCTCAGTCTTCCACCGTTTGATCCAGCGCGCATTCCCGGGATGGTTCCCCAACGACACCATCCGGTTCTTCCACCCGTTTTACACGGCGAAGCAAAACGCGATCTACGCGAAGGCGCAGGGCTATGGCAGTCAGTTCAAGGAGACAGCAGAGAAGCCGAAGTCCGACATCGTTGTTGACCCATTGGAGAAGCCCCCAAAGCCGTGGTATCTTGACAAATTCACCGACATCTCCATCATTCTGCAGGGAGATAAGAGCAAGAACTTCACGAATTCTGTGTATTATTACAAGGCAAACTTGCCTGATGTGGTGAAAAGGGTCTTGGACCCAGGCCAGACGCCGCCTACCTTCTCACCTGATGTTCTGGAAGATTACGTTAAGGATGCTGAAGGGGATTTGAAGAAGTATCTCGATGATTTGATGAGATATATCGTCAAGAGAGAGTCGATTTGCATGACAAATTCGACATTCCAAATTGATGCCACAAGAGAGTAAGTTCCATCACCCTTCGGCTGCAGTTTCATAGCCCGTCCAATTTCCTGACCTTTTCGACAGTTTTGCCATTCCCGTAGTCACTCGATATGTCGCCGCCTTCCTTGGGTTTGGAAATAAGCTGCGCGAAGTTGCCACGGACGTAAAGAAGGACACGTACAGCGAAAACGAGATCTATCAGCACATCACCAACTGCCAGGTTTTCCTGACGTACAATTCGGATGAGACTAAGTGGATGCAGCGCCGCCAGGCTTTTAAGACTTCCATGGAAAAGCTGATCGACTTGACCCAGAATGGAACTATCTGGGAGGCCGACCAGTGGGACATTACAAGGGCCTTGTTCGGAAAGGAGCAGACCAATCCCATGCATGAACTTGGAGTCTTCGTCGCGAAGAAAGTCTTAGAATATGAGAGGGATCAAAGCAAGGCCGCCGCCATTCTTGTACTCATTTGTCTCGACTTTGCCTACAATGCGGTCGTCTCAGTAAGTGAATTAAGTATTTTCTTCATCATGCAGACGACGCTAATTTTCACCAGTTTACGGCTACACTGGACGGCTATATGGAAGGGCTTTACAGGGCCGCTGATTTCCCGCCAGTTATCCCTCAGTCGATGCCAGAGTGGATCGATGTTCAAGATTCTGCCTGGATAAACGATGATGAGACTCTTGACAAGATGATCCAATTGATGGCCCAAAGAAAGGTTCGACTACCGGTGGTACGCAAGGCTACCACAAAGGCCACGTACACATTCGAAGGGATCAAGGAGGGACAGAAGGTCGAGGTAGAGATAAAGAAGGGACAGACGGTTATTCTTGACCTTGTAAGCTTATGGACATGATAACCCCTTATTATGTCTGGACTAACAAGATTTTCGACAGTCGACGGCCATTGAAAAAGCAGACGTCAAGGACGATAAGGTCAAGGTCCAATTCTTGAACTCCCAGCTCAACATTGCCGACAAGTATGGTGCCTTCTCACCAAGACGCTTCGCCAATATCTCGTTGACCTCGATGATCAAGTTCATCGCTCAGATGAAGAATCCCCGTCGCGGTCACGATGCGCAGGGAAGACTCAAGAAGGTCCATATCGACTCAACCCTTGAGGGCTACGCCAACTACATGGCGCCCATGCGGGTGAGCTGGATCAAGGAGCAGGTAAAGAATCTCGAGAACAGAGAGGCTGAGCAGATCTTGACCGATGACATACTGAAACCTGAGGCGGAGACGTACCTTACGCCAACCTGGGATGAAATCGTGCCCTTCCCGATGACGTGGAAGATCCGCTTCGACGGATTCGGCGCATCGGACTACAAGGTAGGCGACAACCTGTTCGGTAGAGTCAAAACGACTCCAACTCTTCCGGATTTCTGCCCGCCTTGGTATCAGCCGCAAGGCCCCAGCACCGTCGGAGGGACATTTGCTACTGTTGATTGCGTCTGCGCTGATGCGGCAACTGGAGCTGGACATGAAACCGGGGACGAGGCTGGCGAGGAGGGAGAGACGAAGCACAAGGGCCACTGCCCTTGCGTTGGCCACTCAAAGAAGAACAACGATCATCAGCATAAGACTTTCAAAGCGTCGACTGGATGTGGCATGGGACACTAAGGTGAAAAGCACAGGGGTGTTGTAGTGGTTAATGCTCTTCAAGAACCTTGGGCGAACGCTGGAGGTGGCGAAGGAGCGAAAAGATTGCAACAAATTTTCTTTGTTAATTAGCAAAGGTTGGAAGGTTCAAAAAAAAAAAAAAAAGAAAGAAAGACCAGCATCATCCGATCGGCCTCCAAGATATATATATGGCACATTATCGGAAATCGGCCACAGTCGCCATAACCTTGACGGTGCGCAAGTCAGTTATGCTACCCTACATCCATCGACTGGTTACATTATGCGTATCTCTCAGGCCTACATCTCTTGCGATGATGGTTTCCTCTGTATAGCACTTAATATATTTTTCAATGAGGGTACATTCAATTCCTGTGACTACATTTGAGCAACGTGTGTCTAGACTACCAGCTTCCCAACTTTGGTCACGAATGTCGCCGTCCGAGGTGACAGCCAGGTTACATAGCCTGAATGATGTTCAATCTATAACAGTGCGACAAGTTTGGCAAGGTATATATAGGTGTACTATGAAGACGGGCAGGGATGTCCTGTCTTAAATACACCGAAAGCTTTGCTCTTAATAACGACCAGAAGTTCAGCTGTGACAGACATGGATACCTCCGAAAGAAGAAAGCGGAAGGAAAGAGAAGAGGTTTCACAGAGATAGACTATCGGTACTGCTAGTAATAAGCTTGCAGGACTTTTCCATTCTGTTACATATTGCAAGGTCTCTTAAACTACAAGTGCCATTTCACTCTCTTTGAAAGCGCTACGTCGGTTTTATTAGCTCCTTGTAGCAGTCCTGGATGCATTATTGGTAGTCAACAAAGGGGACTTTAACTACCCCCAATGATCCGAAGATGGCTCTGCTCAGACCCTGAGCACATATGTTTGATGTGGTTATGCTTTTTTCAATTTTAAATTTTTTTTTTTTCCCTTTCTCATTAAGACTCATTCAGAACCACGTGAAACTGAAAAGGGTGATTTTTTTTCGCAAGCAAGGTCACAGAAACGGCCGATCTGATTGCGAGTATAGCTTTGAGTAAGTTGCTTAATAAGGGTATTTCCAGAGACCGAGTATGAGTTTCCGGTCAGCCCGGGGGGGGGTTTCTTACAAGGTATCAGAGCCAATAAGATCCACTCGATACATCACAAGCACTAGTGGTTTAGTGGTAAAATCCATCGTTGCCATCGATGGGCCCCGCGTTCGATTCGCGGCTAGTGCAACAACTACAAATTTCTCTTTTTGACTTTTTTTTGATATTTGGAATTTGTTTTTGCGGTGGTCTTCGTCTCTGCTGCTTCAATATGTTGTTTTTTTGCAGTAGCCTTCGGTTACACTATAGATGCAATGTGCTTGCATCCACGAAGTCACAGGTAGTAGCAATATATGAATGATCTTGCGATCTTCAACAGAACGAGAGGATTTCCGGCTGACTCTCTTGTTTTAGTTGTTACCACACATGACTTATTACAGACGAAGTAATAACCAAACGCAGAGCTCCCACATCTACTTTGCTGCAAGCCATCTGTATCCGGTCACCGCCCTCGCTTAGTCACTTCGGGCAGCTCCCACCACCTACCTAAGTTAGAATCCGAAATTTTTCCCTCCCCACCCCCTTTTGAAGGTACCCACTTGGAGCACACAGACAGCGAAAAAAACGAAATAATTAAAGAGGACCACACGCCAGGTCTAATATATGGACATAAGAAACTGGATCTCAACAATCAGCCAATGAGGGCGCAGTGGCAGAGTGGTCTAATGCGCAAGACTAGAATCGTCGGGTTCCAACGACCCCGGTTGCTATCTTGTTCCTTCGGGAGCGTCTGTTCGAATCAGGCCTGCGTCGATCTGTTTCTTTTTTTGCATTTTCGTGGTTCGATCTCTCGGGATAATGGGTTTTTTTTTACCCCCTATATCCATAGTCTTATTACTGTGCAAGTCATGCGTGATTTTCTTTTTTCAGTAGCTGTCCACGTAGTTGCAGTCAGGCGAAGAAATATGGATTCACAGCTCCTTCGAGAAACGCGTCTTCCCAGGTATCATTGCTATAACTTCATCGGGAAGAGAATAACACTTTTTCATGAAAGCAAGCCCTATACAAAAACAACTTCCCCAAAACCCAATGCCAGACCGTAGGTCATGCCTTTAGCTGTAATCCGCTTCTGTTGGGAAACATATTTTGTGCTTTAGTAGCCCTGTTCCACCAAGTCTTTCAATCCAAACAGCAAAGATTCGTTATCCCGTGGTGTCTCTTACACCACCAGGGGCAAGCCGTCCATCAAGCCTGGTGGTGATTCTTAAAGAAAAGAGGCGATCTACCTGTAGTCTGTCTCCGGTTTAGAGTGACACCCAACCACATGCTGCCTTTACCCCCACTCGCTGATCGCCTTGAATTCTGGAAGTTACTCTTGCGCCTCCTGTTGATGCAATCGAGATTGCTCTCTACTTTGTATTGCATGTACATTGCGGCACCCCAGTACAACCCCAACTCGGTGTCGGTTGCGGGGCCTGAAACATCTACAAACACGTTCTCATACGTCCTTGTCTTGCGCATCGAGGGCTGGCTACGTTTATACTCCGCTTGGGCCCTGGGCTTTATACGCTGGTACCATTCCTGGTGAGATGATGTGGACCATGAGACGAGTCTACCGTCAGATGTTGGTGGCGAGTCGCAGAACCATAGATCCTCGTAATTGATGTCTTTCTCACCGCTGCACCACGAGTTGTTGGTTCCTTCTTGACCGAGCTTCTCCTAGATATCATCGGGCGTGGGAGGTTCGCTAGTGTATATAGTGTCCAGCGTGTTTGTCGCGCAGCCATCTTGAGCCACTTCAATGCAGTCCGGGATACAGCAAGGTCTATTGGAATACGGCATATCTAAGCTCTCAAGGACATCGGTTTCCTCTGGCAGTGGGATTAGCAAGGGATCTCGGAGGTCCTCATCCCTCGCGTCGGGCAGAGGGATCCGAGCAGGATCCCATAACTCGGGATCCTTGCCTGGAGGCAGCGAGATGGTAACTGCGGGCACCATGATGGAGTCGATGGAGCTCGCTATCTTGCGCAGGGTATTCCCCATAGCTCTGCGACAAAGTATCGACATCTTCAGCAGAGGTAAGCCATGCTCTATGGGGTCCGTACGGGTCGTGTAGAGTAGAGCAAATCCAGCTCGTTCTGCTGCCGCTGTAAGGCCGACCCTGGAAATATGGTAAAGGGTAAGAAAAAGCGGGTCCGTGCTGGTGTTTGCCGTTTTGGGCCAGTCTTGCTCCTCGTAGCGATTCCTGAATGGCTGGCGAGGTTATGCTTACGGGCAAGCAGAGACAGGACAGCTTTCCTTGCGAATGCTTCAAAGGAGGTTTTAAAGGTATGTATATATCTCGCTTTTGTCTCTGAAGTGCCACAAAAACTTGGCAACTCGGTGATTCAGTCCATCATTTTGACTCACAACTCAATAATTCACGTTTTCCCCTGCTGCTTCCAAATTAGGACCTCCTAGAGACCGGGAAGCCGCACCCTTGGATCTTTCCGGCTTGGGCCATTTCCGCTGCTGGTCTATACCCGTGGTGAGGCAGCGCTAGGCGATTTCCCATTCCTTCTTACCGGTTAGACTTGCCTTTTATTTTGTGTGTACTGATGCCTCATCGGCAAAACCATTTATTTGATTGATACTGCGGATCTCCCAATTTGTGGTTTATATGGAAGAAGTGACAGGCACTTGTGCTCGTCTTAGCTGAACAGCGGCATGGATAATCAAGTTCTGTAGGTTGTTCCTGGGACGGCCGTCCATCTACTAGATGCATGCGGTGGCCACCAAGTAGGATCGGGAATACGATGATAAAGTCGAGATTGATGACTTATATTCATCCATCCATCTCTAATCTACTTTTTTCTATTTTCTTTTCTTATCCTTTGATCAGGATTCCTCTTCGCAGCACCAATGCCCTATGGGTATCCAAAATAATCACGCCTGGTTAACAGGTCTTACCTGTTCTTAAATCTTTATGCAAACTGCGTGCCAACGTTAAAATCTAATCGCACATGCAAGTTCCATTCCTCCCCTTCAGAAACCCAAACATTTCTCGCTCTTTATGGCAAGTCTAAAATTGATGTCCATACCATACCCGAGTCTTTACAAGCCCGAGCACATCTATGACTCTCCAAGTGGTGATAGTTGAGAAGACCTCTACAGGTGGTATTCCGAAGGACTCGACACGGTAACGCCTCTCCTTGCCCAGGCCCTCTCGATGCCCATGTCGATGCTTCCACTGTCGGAAAAATTAGCTAGTGCGGCAAGCAGTTATCTTAACTAGAATGAACACTTACTCTTCTTCGATCTTGACCCTCGGCTCGGTCTCGCCAGCTGCGGTGTTGGGGTTTCCGAATTTGATGTTCTTCTTCTGTAAGTGGGAGGTTAGCATCTGATGGCAGAACGTAGACTAGTATAATGGCACCCGCTTCGCTAAATCTCCTTATGGGGGGTGATGAGGGGACAAGGTTTACACAAAAAGACTTACCAGACCCAGCGTCAGGTGAATTCCAGCAGGGTTGACGACAAGGTGTTCGCTAGGCTCCTTGCCCTGGACCATAGCGAGGATGTTCTTGGCCACGACCTGCGCCTGGGCGGCACCGGGGCGGGCCGCCTTGTGCGCTCCGCTATCGGCGATATCGCCAACAGCGTAGAGGTTGGGGTAGGCAGGGTCCTGGAACTGCAGGGTGGGTCTGACGCGGATGAACCCGTTCTTCGGGTTGATGAGCGAGTCCGCCGAGGAGGCCGTGATGCCAGACAGGAACCCTGTGTTCGGGGTCTGGCCGACTGCGGGAATCACCAGGTCGGCAGTGATCTTTGTGCCGTTCACCAGCTCGACGGTGGTGGCGTTGGCCTCGAGCGGGAAGCCATTAGGGGGCATGACAACGCGGGAGCCCAGTGCGAGCTCGACTCCCAGCTCCTTGCATCTCTCCTTGATGATCTGGTCCAGCCTCTCGTGGTAGTTTGGCATCAGCTGGTTGCGCGAGTGCACAAGAGTAACCTGCTTCTCGGGGTAGAGCTCCTTCAGATCAGTGGCCATCTGCACGCCGACGGCGCCTCCACCAACCACAACGATGGACTTAGCCTCCTTGACGCGGTTCTGGTAGGCTTGAAGGTACTTGATAGACAGCGGCTTCTCGTCGTCCAGCATGGTTCCCGGAGCCTGCAGCTTCGTTCCAGATGCCACGACAAGATACTCAAAGGGGATCTTGTCGCTGCCTTGCCACTCGCGATCCAGAACCACGTGATCCGGCTTAAGGGATGCAACCCTTGCCTTGACCACAGCGTGCTGATCTCGATTCGGGCTGGAGGCGAAGGTTCCCGAGTACGGGATGAAGGCTTTGTGCTCATGGGACGGCAGAACTGAAAAACGTGGCTGCAAGATTTCCTGTTAGTGCCTCAACGAATAAATTGAGAGCTCAATAAGTAAACTTACGAATGCAAACAAATGGTTGAAATGGCTGTGAGGCTCAATCATGAGAATCTAAAGATTTTTCGATTAGGTTGAATGTTATCCTGAGGGCGATTCCATGCAGTAGATCCAATACTCACTCTGTAGGTTGAGGGAAGAATGCTGGCAAGTTCCTTTGTGGCGGCCTGCAGAAGTATTCTGTTAACATAGCAGTTCCCATTGAGTTTCACTTTGGAGAATTTGCAAGCTAAAAGGAGCTTACCATGCCGACGTAGGAACCTCCTACTACGATCACATTCTTCAAGCTGGCAGCCATCTTGGTTTGCAAGTACGATGCCGTGTAAATAGAGAGAAGCAGGACGACAACGAAGGCGATGACTGTCCTCGCGGGGTTCACTGCTGGCAACTTGGTAGACCACGTGGTGTCGAGCGTCTGGAGCTGTTTTAAAAGGGAATAAAACAGCTGGGTAAATTTATACGAAGCGTTAAAATTTAAGGAATAATGGGAGAGAGAGAAAGATATCTACAAGGAACTTCAAGACGGGAGACTACGCATTAAGAACGATCACGGAGGATGTTGAGCGGGTTTCATAGGGGGGATCCAGCGTTAGCGCGGGAAGATCTTATCAGATCAGCCATTGCGACTTGATTCGCTGTTACGAGCAGCGAGAGTGGGCACGCGGATGCCGCCAGCATTTCCGAACCAGACTCGGTGTTACGAAAAGAGACCGCAGCCGCAAGCGAGCCCAGGCGACCGAGGCGACTCAGGCGGCGGGGTAGACGAGTCGGAGGTAAGAAATGTTTTATTTTGCCTAATGAATTGTAATTTCTTGTGTTGCAAGTACTTGTCCTAGCCTAATCATAACAAGAGAGGCGTCGGGTGTGTGGGGGAACTACGGAGAATATTTCAACCTGCGTGGTGCTGTTGGGTGGTCTGGATTGCCGACCCTTTTTGTCGACGCCCAGTGGCAAAGCCCGGGAAACGGTGGCGTGTCGGGTGTCCACAGCGGATTTACCAGTTGCCAGTCCTTGTTCCGAGACACTCGTCTGTGACTGACTGCCTTTGGGTCGGAATTGGCCCACGGCTAACCGGCTGCATTATCTGCCTGCCTGCCTGCCTGCCTTGTCTGTCTGGGAATTGAATTCCCCAGTTGAAGCTGAAAATGAAGAGTCTCTTTCCTCCTCCTTAGGCGGGTCGAGAAGGGCCAAAACTCGCCGCTCGTCGGCCGTAGATCAAAAGAACTGGTCCCGCTCTGTGTGGATCTGGTCCCCGCCAAACGGTAGGACGGAGCCAGCTACCTGGAGTATCATCCGTAACGTGTTTGCATGCACCATACGATCACAATTTGTGTGTCAGCCCTGTCGAGAAATTACCTATGGAACTTGGAACTTTCCTAAGAGCGAAAACCCC